AGCTCTGTATCTCTCTCTTTCTCAAAAATAAATAAAACATTTAAAAAAAAAAAAAAAAGATGGCTGCCGATTCTTTACTTGTCCACCCACCCAGAAGAGGAGACATCTATTCCCCTTCAATCTGGACTGCTCAGTAAGTTGTTTTACGTAAAATATCCACAGAAGTGATGCTTAAGGCTGGGCCTTAAGGGGTCTACATCTTCTTACCTTGTCTTGAAATGCTCCTTCTTAGAATGTACCTTTCATTTTGTGAGGAAACCTGAGCAGCCATGTGAAAGGCCTTTATGGAGAGGTCCAAATGGAGAAGAGCCAAGGCCCCTGACCCACGATCATTCTCAGTCAGCCTCTAGCCTACACAAACTGCCAGTGTGAGTGAAATCATTTGGGGACTTTTGACTCTGCCAGTGCCCCAGATGACACCATGTGAAGCAGAACAACTGTGAGATAGAAATGGTTAGTTTGAAGACACTAAGTTTTGGGGTAATATCTTATGCAGATCTAGATAACTGAAACAACTGTCTACTGTGTGCCAGGCACTATTCTATGTCCTTCTGATCTACTAAGGTAAAAGAGAAATGTAAACTGACAGGTGCAGATAAGGGTGCTGTGAAAGGGTAGAGGAAATGTCTACCTGCGGGCAGCCTGCGGGGAGAAGTGGGGAGGTGGGTAATTCTGGGCAGATCAACACTCAACAGGCAAACTACAAAACCCAGATTCCAGTTTTTGGCCAGTCAGCACTGCAACTTCCTCTTCCGGTATCTCCTCTGATGGGATTAGTTTTCAACCTGACAAAGGTGAAAGTGGAAAAGGCTGGAGAAAGTTGTCTTGGGTCTGTCTGCAATACCAGTTCATGTTTGGACAGCTGGGCAATATTGTTCTGAAGGTTTCTGGTCTCTGGACCTTTCTGAAGCAGAAAATTTACCAATTCTAGGCACCTCTAGATGGGGGTGGGGGTGCTGATAAAGCTGGTGGGAACCTTGTGGGCTCTGCATGCTCCCAAGGAATAGATAGTTAGCAGTTTCCTTGCTTTCTGGCCACAGAGAGGGTTCTGGGATAGTTCTGTGACCCCCTAACCTCCCCTCAGTCCTGTCTCCTGCCCATCATCTGGACACAAGGAACACATATCTTCATTTTCCCTTCTCATTTTTCAGATGGGGTCTGTTATAACCCTCCTCACTCATTGGTCAGGCATTTTCCTCTAGGCATAGGCTGTTGGGGTCAGCTTCACCTTTAGCAGCTCCCTGGTGAACAGCTCTTAACTTATGTGTTTCAAATAATTTAGCAACAAACAAACAAACAAATAAAATAACTTAACAATAGTTCTTATCCCCTTCCCACATAATCAAGATGATCATAAGCGTTCATTTAACAGGTTTTTTTTTTTTTTTAATTTTTCTTTCAACGTTTATTTTATTTTTGGGACAGAGAGAGACAGAGCATGAACGGGGGAGGGGCAGAGAGAGAGGGAGACACAGAATCAGAAACAAGCTCCAGGCTCTGAGCCATCAGCCCAGAGCCCGACGCGGGGCTCGAACTCACGGACCGCGAGATCGTGACCTGGCTGAAGTCGGACGCTTAACCGACTGCGCCACCCAGGCGCCCCAACAGTTTTTTAAAATTAATTATTTTTGAGAGAGAGAGAGAGAGAGAGAGAGAGCACGTGTGCACACGCTGGGGAGGGGCAGAGCGACAGGGAGACAGACAATCCCAAGCAGGCTCTGTGCTGTCAGCGTGGAGCCCGACACAGGGTTTGAACTCATGAACTGTGAGATCATGACCTGAGCTGAAATCAAGAGTCGGATGCTTAACTGACTGAGCCACTTAGGTGCCCCTCATTTATTAGGTATTTTAACAAATATTTACTAAGTGTCAACTAAGTGCCAGTTCAGTTCCAGGAGCTGAGGATACAGTAGCAAATGAAAGTTCCTGCATTCATGGAGCCCATCGTCTAATAAGGGAGACAGACAACAATAAATAAATATATAGTGCTGGGTAGTGATACAGGCTCTGAAAAAAATCATGCAGGATAAGTATATTTGGAACTATTCCACATAGGGTAGTCTAAAAAGACCTCTTTCTTAAGGTGACATTTGAGAAATCTGAATGAAATATGGGGGAAGACTATTTAAGACTGAATAGAAAGTATAAAGGCCCTGAGGCAGGAAAAAATAAGCAAAATAAGAGAACAGTAATTAGGTTAGTGTGGCTAAAGCAGGTAGAGCAGGTAGGGAGTGACAGATGTGGGTGGAGAGGAGAGCTAGGAACCAATTAGATAGGGCTCCTACATATTTGGATTTCATTCTGAAAAATGGCATGACCTGATTGATGCTTACAAAGATCTTCCTAAATGCTGTTTGGAGAACAGACTGTGGAGGGGGGCACGGAGAAGGTGAAAGCAGGGTGACCAATTAGGAGGCTACCATATAACCCAGGCCAAGATGATGGTGGCTTGGTCCAAGATAGTTGCAACAGAATTAATAAGTGGTTAATTCTGATGATTTAAAGGTAGCACTGACAAAACTTGCCAAGGGATTGGAAATGGCATTTGAGTGTAAGAGAGGCACATCAAGGATACCTTTTAGGTTTTGGGCTTGAGGAACTGGATGAGCAATGGTGCCATTCCCTGACGTAGATAAGAATGAGAGTGGCGTATAAGGAGTAGGTTATTGAGGGCAGGATGTATTGAGTTTGAGATACTGGTTTGAGGCACTTGAAAATCAGTCTGAAGATCTAGGCTGCAGATAGAAATGTTGGAGTCATCAGCAAACAATTATTATAAATTACTCCTAGGGAGTGTGTAGACAGAAAAGAGTATCATGTGCCATGTTCTGAGGCTTTCAACAGCTGGGGAAGACAGAAATTTTGTGGTTATTAGCATACAGATGTTATAAATCACTCCTAGGGATTCAGTACTGACAGAAAAGAGCATCATAGACAGTGGCCTGGGGCCTTCAACAATGGGTGAAGAGGAGGAGAAGCCCACAAGGGAGACAGAGGAGTGACCAGTGAAGTGAGGAAGATCAGGAAAGCCTGGTGTCCAGAAAGGCAAGTGAAGAAAGTATCCTGTATAATCACAACCAAGAGTGAACTCCTGAGCCTCAGTTTTCTCAGCTGTGAAATGGAGACAGGAACAAGTACCTACTTCAAAGTGTTGTTAGGATTGAGACAATGCATATAAAGCAGTTAGGCTTGTGTTTGACTGGCATATAGTAAACTCTCAATCTATGCTAGCTCTTGCTATCATTCCCTCCACTTTAGAGTTGGCTGCCAGAGCTGTCACCCTCTCCATCCACATAAATAATAGCACTCTCATGGGTCTTTCTCAGGGGTCAGGTGCCCCTGCTCACTCAGGCATCAGGTGTGCCTGAGGAGTGGCCTCTGAGTCAAATTTGAACCACACAACTTCAGTGCCTAGGCCTATCACCCCGATAGCCTCCAGCCCTTACCTGCAAATCAACAAGGGTTAAATGTGTGGTGTATAAAGGTTTTGAAGACAGAATTCTGACTCTGTCCCTCACCAGCTGTGGGATCTTAGGCAAGTTTTTTTTTAAGTTTATTTATTTTGAGAGAGAGAGTGCACACAGGGGAGGGCCAGAGAGAGAATCCCAAGTAGGCTTTGTGCTGTCAGCAGAGCCAGGAAGCAGGGTTGGATCTCACAAACCGTGGGATCATGACCTGAGCTGAAATCAAGTCAGATGCTTAACCGACTGACCCACCCGGACGTCCCCTTAAGCAAGTTTTTAGCCTTCTTGAGCCTTTAACTTTTTTTTTTTCCCCCCAGGCCTAATCCTGAGCAATTTTTTTTTTTTTTAAATAAAGACAGACTGCCACGTGCTGTGCCTCATTTGAATGTATCTGGAGTTTTGGAAGCTTGACCACCCTACATTCTCCTACAAATGGACCTCCAGAGCTTGTTTGGAGAGGAGCGCAGCTACTCCTATACCCTTGATGGAAGGCCGATCCTCTATTCGGGAAGGTAGTGGGAAGGTTATCCTTTTCGACCAAGACCACAGCTTCCGGAGGGATGCACCTGGAGCAGAGAGGGAGGAAGGGGACACCCTCCTAGCCAGCCAGATCAGCCGAATCAACCCTGGCGATCAATGGGGTGACAGATGTCGCAGCCAGATAGCCCTCACATCCAAGCCTTTAACTCTTTATCTGTAAAATGGGGGCAATTCCTACTTCATGGGATTGTGTCTGGGTTCACACAGACTATATAAACAAAGCTGGCTATCTGTTTGCCAGCATGGGAGTTACTGAGGCTTCTTGCCACTCTCCTTCTCGAAGCACACATCCTCTCGGGGCAGGATGCACGTAGAGGAGGCACTCCACACACCCAAAACCAAGCTGGGTGGGCCTCTGCCCTAGGCTGGGCTGCAGGTGAGTTAGCCAGACAAGCGGAGACTTGTGCACTGTCTCCTCCACGGGGCCAGGGTGAGCCGCGCCTCCTTGCTGGGCCCTTACATTGGTAGAGGGGCCTAGCCCCGCCAAGGGAGGGGTACCGAACGTCCCAGAGAATCCCTCCTCAGCTGTTCCACCTCCCGCCCGGCGTCGAAGCCCGTTTCTTGGACAACTCTTTTCCGTCCCTCTTCCGGACCCACCAGGCCTACCGAGCCCCGGGCCGGAACGCCGCCGCGTCCCCCCACCCATCAAATCAGCAACCAGCGTCTCTCTACGCCACCGAGTGTAGGCCCAGGCCCGTACCCCAGCCCTTCAGCACCGCAGGAAGTGGTGGCGCCTCTGGAGGGCAGCCAGGAGGAGGAGGGGTGAGTAAGAGGAGGAGGAGGCGGCGGCGCGGCTGGGTAGCAACCGAAGCCACAGGGCAAGGGCTCGGGAGGAGGGTGGTGTGGGAACCCGACCGCTCAGCGCCGCGCCCCGGGGCAGCCAACCGCTCTTGGAGACGGCCCCGCCCCCTGCAGCGCCCCGCCTCCCGAGTCCCCGCCCGCGCCCCGCGGCTCCGCCCCAGAGGCCCCGCCCCCCTGCTCCAGTCCCGAAAACCCCGCTCCAACCGACGGCCCCGCCCCCGCCCCCGCCCGCGCCTCGGGCGCACTTCTAGTCGCTGGGCGGCCGCGCTGGTCCGAGTCTCGGCGTTCCGCCGCCTGCCACCCGGAGCCGCGCTCCCCTGCCTCCCCTCCAGCCCCTCCCCCAAGAGCCGTGGTCGGGCAGCGCCTGGCCGGCGGCCCGCGGGCGGGCCGCCCCCCCTCCCCCCCGCGGTAGCCCACCCGCCTCTTAAAGCGGCGGCGGGAAGATGAGGTTTCGGGAGCCGCTCCTGGGCGGCAGCGCGGCGATGCCGGGCGCGTCCCTGCAGCGGGCCTGCCGCCTGCTCGTGGCGGTCTGCGCGCTGCATCTTGGCGTCACCCTCGTCTACTACCTGGCCGGCCGCGACTTGAACCGCCTGCCTCAGCTGGTGGGAGTCCCTACACCGCTGCAGGGCGGCTCAAACGGCGCCGCCGCCATCGAGCAGCCTTCCGCGGAGCTCCGACCCCGAGGGGCCCCGCCGCTGCCGCTTTTGGACGCTTCCTCAGAGCTGCGCTCGGGTCGCGACTCCAGCCCAGACGCGGACTCTCACCCCGGCCCCGCAAGCAACTTGACTTCGGCCCCAGTGCCCTCTACCACAGTGCTGTCGCTGCTCGCATGCCCTGAGGAGTCCCCGCTGCTCGGTAAGGACTCGGGGACTTTCCCGAATTTCCCCGACAGGGCCCCCTGGACGTTCGCCCATGCCCTCTTCCAGGATATTCAGCCCCCCAGTTCCGGATCGGAGTCCCTAGTCCCAAACAGAGGTTCCGGGCTGGATGTAGGGAGAGGGTGGGAGGCGAGATTTTTTTGGATTTACGTGGAAGGCTGGGGCGGGGGTGGTACAAGGAAACTGCAGGCCCCTCTGTTCCCAGAAGCAGAGAAGGCCTTGGAGACTTCCCTGCTCTGGCCCTTGCCTCAAGAAGTTTTGGAGTTTGAGTTTGCTTCGGGCATGGAGCAGCCTTCGCCCTGCCAAGTCTGGTAAGGACCAAGAGGCAGCTCAGAGTAACCCACTCCAGTTTAGGAAACTGATGATGAGGCCTCCAGTGGGGAAGGAAGTTGCCCTCCCATTTCACATCCAGCTCACATACGTTGTCTTCCCATAGAAATACTCTCCTCTGAGTGTGGGTTAACTTTTCCTGAGCATTAGGACGAGTGACTTGCTCTTTAACCTCTGGTTTCTGGTCCGTTAAATGGGGAAGATAAATGGTACCTAAGTCAGGTTTGTTTTGGAAGGCTAGATGAGACAATATAAACAAGGGTTTACATTAATGAAGGTAAACCCTTAGTAAATTGTTGCTATTATGTTAAGTTCCTCCTTTGTGTAGATCCCTGCCCTGGGGCCTTCCTACCCTGCTTCCTGCCCCTGTAGGTTCCCAAAACCTAAGTGAACTAGCACTCTTAAGGGCTGAGGGTGTTTGTAGGAGTACAGTGTGTGTACCATAGGGGCTGGAGGGCTAAACTATAAACTAGTTCACACCGAATTGTCCCTTCCAGGAAGCAGCTGAGTCTCAGGTATCTTGCCCAGATAATTGGAAATGTGGCCACCAGCCTGTGTTTCAGCATATACTGGGAGTTTGAGTGGGTGGGTTTGCATTCCTCACATCAGGAGGAGTCTGAGCCCGTGTCTGTTGGAGGCAGTGGGGGGGGAACCTTTCCTTGGTCTGTAATCCACAGGCAGTCAGGCCCAAGGCAGCCACAGGTTGTTCCCAAGATTATCATACAGGTGGCTGCTCATTTTTAATGCCAGGGTTTATTTGTTGCTCTGAGTGAGGGGCCCTGGCAGCAGGGCAGGCATCCTGCCAAAAGACTCTGTCACCTTCCCGCAAAGCCCTGGCAGAGAAGGCCTCCTACATGTTCTTGCTCAATTTCTCCAATGATTACTTCAGTATTTTCGTATCAAGTTTGGGGGGGAAGCTCTTGGAATTGGTCAGACATGAATTGTGGAAGTAAGGGGATTTTTTTTTTTTTTTTTTGTAAAAAGAAAATTGAGTCCCTTTGGATTCAATTGGACTTCCCTCTGGGAAGGAGACTAGTTCTATAAAATAAAGTTGAATATTTGCCCCGCTGCTAAGTGTCTGGCCTCACGCATCTTAGAGAGTTTCTCAGAATCTCTTTCTTATATGTAAAATGAGGTTGTTGGTGATTAACTCACAGGGTTATTTTTAGAACATAAATGAGATTGCGTACATTAAGTACACGGCAAATAGGACTTGGGACTTGAAGTTCCATTTTCTCAGACTCCCGTGGAGATAGAAGGCTCTGAACAGCAGAGAGAAGGGGGAGGAGAGAGAAGAAATCCTCAGAACCCAGAGAGGGCAGGTTTTGTCTTTTTTGGTTTTAATTGTTGCCTAGACATTTATTCAGAAAAAAAGAAACTAGCAAATTAAAGTACTCCAATGTTCATTAGATTGGTGTTTGAGGTATGAAGTCTTCTTGATGAAGCTGGAGAGCCCGTGGTGCTGTATCTCTGCTTTGTTTTGTTTTCTAATGGTGTTGCTAGTGATTGGTGACCAGTTACTGGTATTTCTGAGCTGAACTTTGAATTGGTGGTTTGAAGGGACTTCCTGAGAGATAACGTTTGGAGGGTGAGGAGAGAGGCCCTCGGCCTTCTCTAGCTTGGCTGCCTTAGCGTGACACACATGGGACCATGATGTTTGGGCAGCTGCTACGGAGGTCCCACAAAGTGAAGACAGAGGGTTTTTCTTCATTTTAATTGAGCCCTTAGGTTTGAGTGGTTGGGTGCAGCTCTTGGAGTGAGGGCTCCTGGCTGGGAGGGGGCCTTGAGGAAGCTGAAGGTCTCTCGGAGTGTGTGGGTCAGGGGAGTTGAGCCCATCTGTTCATCTGGGCAGGTGTCAACCAAAGCCCTTGTGGGTGGTTTTGAGGTTGATGGGAGAAAGCATCCGTGGGGTTTAGAACTGCGGCCTTTTCACTACTTGCAGTTTCTTTCCATGACTTGGCTTTACTTTCTGTTGTCCAGGGGTCTGGGCCATATGCTATGATAAGCTCCTGTCTGGAACATGGAGGGTAATGGGCATGCTCTTTCCTGGAGGAGCATCAGACTGGGCTTGATGAATGACTGTTTGATCTGTCGTGGGTTGTCAGAGCCTTGAGACAGACTTCAGAGAGACTTGGGTTTGAATCCTGTCTACACTATCTGTGTGACATAAGGCAGATTGTAGAGTTTAGAGCCATTGTAAGCCCTACTTCAGGGTCCCCCATGGGCTAGTGTGAGGCCTTCAGGAGTAGGGACTGAAGGGGGGAGGTAGGCCTTTCCTGAGGACTCTTACAAGTTCCCCAGGGAGTTCTCTCAGACAGTTCAGAACTCCAGGCACTGTCCTCTTGGCCCTCTGGCTGAGCAGCATCTAATCCACTGAACATGGTCATGTGGCGCCCTTTCCTGGCTGCCTGGATGTTTGCCTGAGATGTAGTCAACCTGGGAAGAGGAGTGGTCTTGCCTTTTCCTTTTCCTGGGATATTCATCTCTGCTCAGATTTGGTGGCAGCTCAGTGTGACTTGACTTGTACTGGCACTGGCACTGTCAGCCCAGAGAGGGGCTGGGTGGGAGCGGGCAATACTTTAGGTTGGACTGGTTAGAGAAGGCTGGGCTGACCTGGGGGCTCAGTTGGAGCCTGGTACACCTGGTACAGTCTTGTCAAGGGTGTGTGGGGTGTGGGGGGTGAGTAAAGGACTGCTTAAACCCAGAGACTTCCCCTGCCCTTTGTGCTGTGAAGAGATTCTCTTCATTTGTTCAGACGAGAACTGTGATCTAGAGGTGGGCACCAGAGAGTTGTGGGCCCCTGGGCCAGCAAACAGCTACTGTAGATAGCCAGGGCCCTGGGAGAACACTTATCCATGAGCCAGTTTCCCCAGTTTTTGTGGGGGCTGTCAGCCAAGCCCCTGCCATGGCTTGCACCCTTGGGAAGACAAAGCACTTTCTGAGTCTCTGCTGGGCTCTCAGCTCTCAGGTGTTTTTCCACCAGCATGCTGTCCCCCTCCCATATGCACACATGTGGACACGAGCAGGCTGCCCAGGACAGAATGTACTTTGAGGACATCTGTTCTGGCCTCGGCTTGGGAAAGGGCTCTCTCTCCCCTTTGGAGATGAGTCTTGGAGCCTCATCCTCAGGGTTGGGGGAGGCATGGGGAGCCTCTCCTGTGTCTAGATCTTTAAGCTTTGTCAGATTAGGTAACTAGTACTTTAAAACAGTTTTTTTCCTGTTGTTTTTCCTGGGGAAAATAATTTACTGACAAATTGACAGATACACCTTCTTGTCTGACAATCCGAGATTATGAAACACCCTCTATGACTATTCGGCTCACTTTCTTCCATTCAGCCTGATGGTGGCTGAAGTGATTCCTGACTGTGGCAATCTGTCCCAGACTCTGAGCAAGCATGGAAGTTCCTTGGGGCATGGGGAGCAAGAGCCAAATGTGGGATTGGATTTCATCCGGAGCATCTTGGACCCACAGCATCCCAGGATGGGACTGTCTAGTTCTCTGGCCCCATCCCTCATTGTGCTAGAGGGCAAGGGTGTCGTCTCAGGCCACACAGCCAGGAACGGCCAGCTGGGGCTGGAACTCAGGTATTCTGCTTCCCAGCATAGTGCTCTTCCTTGACGTTATTGCCCTGTAGATACCTAGTGCAGGGGCTCAGAGCAGGCTAACATCTAGAATTTGGGAGGACCCTCTCTCTCTAGGTGTGTCTGTGTCCACCTGAAGGTCTTATGTAGCAGCTTGCATGGACATCCTCAATGGCTAAAGCATCTGGTAACTTCATTCACTTGCAACAATGTGCCTGATCTTTGCTGGGTACTAGTGCCGCAAAGAGGAATATGACAAAATGCCTCTTCTTTAGGAACTCATAGTCCAAGCAGAGGAGGCATAATTAAATTTTGCTGATGTCATTTAGAGAAACTAAATTGTGTGTGTGTGTGTGTGTGTGTGTGTGTGTGTGTGTGTGTTATAGTCTCTCTCTCTCTCTCCATCCCTTTTCTCCCTTCCTTCCTTCCTTCCTTCCTTCCTTCCTTCCTTCCTTCCTTCCT